AGGCCACAAATTTTCCCTCTTGCATCAAGACACAACTAAGTTCATCCCCGGACGCATCACAATAGACAGTGTAATTCAAATCCCATTCTGGAATTATCAAAACCGATACGGTAGTCAATCTAGTTTTAAGCTCTTAGAATGACTTTTCACAAGCCTCACTCCACACAAATTTGATATCCTTTCTAATCAACCTAGTCAAAGGTGCAGTTAGTCTAGAGAAGTCCCTTACAAAATGTCGATAATACCTCGCTAATCCCAAGAAACTCTGAATTTCAAAAACATTCTTGGGTCGTTCCCAATCCTGTACGACATCTATCTTTGAGGAGTCCACAGTCACTCCCTCTCTAGACACTACATGCCCAAAAACTTCACCTCCGTTAACCAAAACTCGTATTTTTCAAATTTGGCATACAATTGGTGCTCTCTAAGTAAACCCAGCACTACCCGCAAGTGAGTCTCGTGTTCCTCTTCAAAGGTTGAATAAATCCAAATGGCGTCTACAAAGACGACCACAAAACAATCCAAGTATTCCCGAAAAATTCTGTTCATCAAATCCATAAAGGAAGCCGGTGCATTGGTCAACCCAAAAGGCATTACAAAAAATTCATAGTGGCCATAACGAGTATGAAAGGCCATCTTCTGAATGTCCTCCTCTCGGACTCTCAACTGATGGTACCCCGACCTCAAATCTATTTTTGAGAAGCAACGAAACCCTTTAAGTTGGTCAAACAAATCATCTATTCTGAGCAGAGGATACTTGTTCTTAACTGTAACTCTATTCAACTTGCAGTAATCAACACACAACTGCAATAACCCATCCTTCTTCTTCGCAAAGAGAGTCGGCGCTTCCCAAGGCGATGTGCTAGGGCGAATGAAGCCCTTGTCTAAAAGTTCTTGGAGTTGAATCTTCAACTCATGCAATTCGTCGGGTGCAAATCTATACAGTGACATGGAAATCAGTGCCGTGCCAGGCACTAATTCAATGGAAAACTCGATCTCCCGGTGAGGTGGTAAACTAGTAAGATCTTCTGGAAAAAATCTGGGTATACACAAACTACCCTTGGTAACTCAACACAAGCCCCATCGTTCTCACTATCCAAGAGAGTTGTAAGAAGGCCACTAAACTTGCTCCTACTACGAGAGTCAACAACTGGTGACAAGGCTCTATCAACTCGATTCCCCAGAAAATAGAAACGATCACCACCCGAAGTGTACATCGTAACCCTCTGACGGTAACAATCAATCACAGCTTGATAAGAACACAACCAGTCCATGCCTAAAATGACATCAAAACTCGACATATCTAGCAACACAAAAGCAAACGGAAGTCGACGCCCAGCAACTTCTATTTCACAATCACGACAACCCCAGTCTAAATCAATTGTACCCCCAACAGGTGACTCTACTCTGAGTAGAGACATTAACCGTGCTACCTCTAACCCCAATGCAGAAGCAAATACAGTAGATATAAATGAATGAGACGCACCCGTGTCTATCAATACATTAGCCAAAGAATTACACACAATAAAAATACCTCTCACAACTGAGGATTCTTAGCAACTGCTCTGGCACGGTAACAGCATACACGCGCCCCTGTGGCCCCTGATTAACTTGCTCCCCTCTCGGAGCATAGGCTTGTTGTACTGACTGAGCCGAAGTGGCTCCCTTATTAACTCGCGAAGCTTGGACTGATTGAGCCTGCTGGTGGCTCTGAGTCTGCCTCGACCCTGATGCGCCAGATACGCCTCCCAACTGTGGGAAAGTTCTCTTCATATGCCCCGGCTGACCACACTGATAACAATTAAACCCTTGACCTTTATTCTGAGACTGAGACAGACTTTGAGATCGGTTAGGTAGTGGTAACATTAACTGCCCTCCTCCTTTCTGTGGACATGAGAAGGATTTGTGACCCGGTTGGCCACACTTGAAACACGAGAAGCTACTTGATGCACTTTTTCCCAGACCCGCACTAGGCAAAGGAATAGTGAATCTAGACTGCTGTGGTTGGGACTGGGATAGATAGGTGTTCCTGCTCCTTTTGTTCTGCCTATAGTCTCCTTGAGACTCTTGACCCTTAGACCTTGAACTCCGTAGCCTCTCCTCCTCGGCTTGTATGGAAATTTCTACGTATGTTGCCGTCTCCACAAGACAGTCATATTCCCGAATCATATTTCTGACAAGCTTGACCGTAATTTTTGTTTTCAAATTCAATGCAACGGCGTTCTTCTGTTGCCACCCAAATCTGGACAAACTAAAGAAGACCGCCTTAAACTCGGCCACGGGCATGTCGAGTTGTTTGAGGTCTTTAAACTCTTGCCTCAATCTCTCCCTAGTAGTGGAAGGTATGTACTTATCTTGGAAAGTAACCGCAAAGGCTTCCCATGTCGGCTCCACTTTACCCTTGACATATTTCCACCATTGACCCTCGTCTCCCTTAAGGTAGTAACTCGCTAGAGTCACTCTTAGTTCACTATCTTTGATGTGAAGCATCTCAAATGCCTTCACAGTTTGTTCAAGCCACTCATCCGCTTTCTTGGGCTCGGGGCCACCATGGAACTCATCTGGTTTGGCCCGCAAGAACTCTCTAGTAAGGAAACTCGCCCTTGACTCCGCGGTGTTCTCTCAAGCTTGATTCTCCACCCTCAACAAGTTCATAGACTCTCTTAAAGCCCCTGCCATTTCTCGAGCTAGGTCCCCCATTGCGGTTTGACCTGTTTGTCCCCCTACTCGGCCGCATTAGCTTGGCCTGCTTGCTCAGCCATATTAGCTTGACCGAACCCTTTTTCTTGCACCAGAACCCTATGGACCGATACCTCATGAACACCTCGACGAGCCCTACCACGTACCACCACGGACTTGACCCCTTCCTAACATCCTAATAAAGGACACAAGAGAAATAATTTAGCGCATTTAACTCATATGTGCTCGTAACTTGACTCACACGTTCGACTACAACAATTCCATATATTTCTCTACCATATACATAATTCAATTTCACTCCACATAAGCACTTAGTTATGTAAACACATACGGACTATTCTTTTACGATGAAATCCATCCCACAAAAAACCAAGAATTCTTAGCAAAACGAGTATTGATCAAGTACCCTTCTAATGAGACCTCAAAGAATTTAACAGGTACAAACAACATCCCAAAAGTCCAGTCTCATACCCATTTAGTCACATAAGCATGTTATCACATAGTCATAAAATGCATAACACTTCCTAAGCATTCTAAATGAACCCATTATGGTAAAACAACCACTTCCCACGAGCTCCAAGTATTCAAACCCGATAGCTCTAATACCAAGTTGTAACGCCCCAAATTTCTAGCCCAAATGATAATACAACGACCATGGCTCTTTCAAGGAAAACCGAATATAAATCTCCAAACTTACATTACATGATATAATACTTCTTCATGCAACAATACATTAATCCAACAACAAGTAAATAAACAAATAAATACCCCCAAGGGTTTACAAGTTTTCAAGGCTTGAGCCTGGTTACACAAAACGGTTATTCAAACCCACACATACAATCATTGGCTTACACACAGAGTCAAAGCAAAATGAGAGTCACGTACTCTCAACACACATTTCCTCGCCTCTAGTTAGGCGGCATCACCACATCTTTTCCTACACAAAAATCTCGTAGGGTGAGCATAAAACTCAATAGAAAATCCTTAACAAAGTATATACATTTTATACAAGTCTCAAGAGATGAAATGCACATGCCATGCTATGCCCTTTTAAAAGAAAATCACATCTTCATCTTTGAAAACCATCATGCTCAATGATGTCATGCAATTTCAATTCTTCAAAACTTAACAATTCATTTCAAGAGCGGTAAATACGACTCTGGTAATCCCTAGGTCAGTATTTACAAGTAGACTATACAAGTACTACTAATTTGTCATTTTTACCGGTATTAACCGAAAGGCTCGACACCTATCCGCGCGGGGTTTTGGTCTTTCTCCCTGGACTCTCAAGCCAACTTATTCAATATCATCTACACCACCTATCAAGACGTACTAACGCATTTACCCCAAAACCATTCCATGAAAACTTATTTCTCAACATTCTTTTCTTAATGCAAGTTTTCAAATCAACTTTCAAAATTTAATGTAATCAAATGAATTGATATGCCAATAACACAAGATGAATATAAATACTTTTATTCTAATTCATCATCTAAGGAATAACACAATTCCCTCTTCTCAAGTATCCTCAATAATTAGTCATTTCAAGACTATTTCAACGTTTTGAACAACAATTTCCAAAATGAACAGCAATTCTCATATTTTCTGAAATTTATCATTTATATAAATATAAATAAGAAATTTTCCAAACATCCATTTATTTTGACACACAAAATAAATATAACAATATCATTCATGGATTTTCAGCCTCTTTTAAAAAAATTCCCAAATTCAAGGTTTTCTCACCAAAATTATACAACTCAAATCTTTTGAAAGAAAACTTTCCAAAATCATCGTTTCTTCAATCAATGAAGATCAAAATCCATAAGATCATTTTAAACGAACAAAAGACAAACCCACTTTCAAAATCGCTCAACTTCTTGAATCAAAAATCAATTTTCAAAACTATCGAAAGATGATTTTGAAAATTATATAGATCTTGCAAAAATATATATATATAACTGTCACGACCCAAACCTGCCCTTATGGGTTTAGTATCATAACCGGCCAGTAATCCTGGGATTACCAAAGGCCTCTGAGACAGATTAACATAATATTAGGGGCTAGCGGAAGCAAATAACAATGTACAACGTCCATTGAGCTGTGTAGACTTATACGAGACAGAAGAATTTTAAACTTTTTACATACACATATACACATTATCTTTAAGTCGTCATATATATATATATACAAATTAGATAAAAAGGGACTTAACCCTATTTACATAAATACACAAGACTTGTTCAACCAAACACGAAAACAAAACTTAAACTTTAAATCACATAGCGATAAACACTTACCATATCCGGAACCTCCACGGGTGGCAGATAGGTTGGCTAACAAAACAAATTCTAGACAGATGCCTCTAAGCCTGGTCACGCGCCTGATCACCTACATACATAAATAATACAGTGAGCTAAAGCCCAGTGAATAATAATAGAGTAAAGGGTTTTAATGAATGAGTCCATACAGATTCAGAAATCATAATTTAGTTTCGTATCAAATCCATAATTTGTCCAGATCATATACAGAAATCATAAGGCATGCTAAAGTTTACGTGATACATCCATTAGCATTAACAGAACAGAATAGAACAGAACACATACGCGTGAGGTTATAAATAACTAGTTCCACAAAGGAACCTCCAGATCCGGGTAACAAAACAGAAGCTGAGCCCCTATGACGGGGCCTCCGGTACGGGTAATAGAGTACAAACAGCTATAAGTTCCATAAAGGAACCTCCGATACCAGGTAACAGCTAACATATATCACATGATGCTAAGAATGTCACGAATACATATTAGAAATTGAACAATCATTCATTGTACAGAACATATCAGTTCGGAAAACAGATCTTGTTTTATCGCACAGAAAATAGATACAGTTGAATATAACTTTACTAAGTTATTACTCACAGATGGCTACAGAAGCAAATTAGATAGACTGGACATATCAGATAAATCAGGCAGACAATGGCGCGTGACCTACACAAGCACATAACATATACACATTGAAATACAATATTACTCCCTTGATCAAACTTGACTTTTTTAGTCTTTTTCCGTCTAAATAGTCCGAAGTTCTACTACGCTTAATCTTTCTCATTCAAATAAACCGGGTTCTTATTTCACATACTCTTTCATTACTAAGCCATTCTTTTCAAATAGATTGATATTTTACTTGGCTTCTTAAACAATTACCACTAGATCAATGATTCATTCTTTAACTAACTAATTTATGTTGATTGGTAGCTTATTAATCTTTATTGAGTCATAAATCATGTCTAGAATGCCTTGGAAAGAGATGAGAATAAAAATGTGAACTAAATGCAATTTTTCAAAATATGCTAAAAATAGGTCTCCGCTCAAGCGCCACTTTGACTGCTCGAACGGACTGTAAAATTTGAAAACTTCTAGGAGCTCGATTTCCACGCTCGACCGAGACTTTCCTCGCTCGAGCAGATAACGTAAATTCTGGAAATTCCAGAATTGCAATTTAAATTCAAATTTGGTATTTAAAACCTCAAAACATGTATTTTTGGTGCACAAAAATGGAGAATCGTTGTATAATTTAGTAAACACTCTCAATTAGAAATCATTTATTCAAAATCATGCTCCACTAGTCCAAATTTAGTTTTAACTCATTTTCTTCCCATCAAACCCACAAATTTTTAAAACATGAATTAGACTCCCAAAACTCTTGCAAATTTATGATGCATGTGCGATTGAAACTCAATTTCATATAAGACAAATAAATCCAAACCCAAAATGGTTATCTTCAAATTAACTTCTATAATTTTGAATCTAATTCAATTTCTACACCATTTTACTAATTCCTTTTAATGTACATGAAATTGAAGTTATATGACCCTTAGGAAAGTATTTGCATGTATGACATTAAGATTAAAACTAATTAATTTTCTATATTCAAAATTAAATCAATGTTTAATTTTCCATAAACTCATACTCTTTAATTTGAATAAAACTTTTGAATTGAAATTAAACCAACTCCAATCTTTCATAGTAAAATCTAGAACTTGTCTAACTTTAGGATTAACCCCCAAATTTTCATAAACTTGATTTTTCTAATAAAATTCCTTCCTTCTTCTCTTCAAAACATGAAATTGTTTACCTTAAATTCCTCAAAATCCATGATGCATGTATAAAACACTTATCAATTCCAACCAATTTTACATTATCAAGCTCAATTTATAATTTGACCTCTTGATTTATATCACAATTTAATCTCAAGCTCATAAACTTTAAAATATGAATTAAATTCTAAAATCTTGAAAACTTACCATGCATGTAATGATAAACTTCAAATATGTGAAGGATGAAGAAAATCAAACTCAAATATTTAATCACAACATCAAACCTCCAATAATTAATTTCTAATTCATTTTCCATAACCAATCACATGCATGTAACCTATTTCAAATTAATTTCCATAATCTTATTCTTAAGCTAATTTTCCTTCATTTTCTTGCTATTGATTCCAATTTCATCCTTAATTTCAAGTATAACATAAAGATTCTATAAAAATTAAGCATGAATCCATACCTTAAACTTTAATTTCAACATTTTAATTGATTCTCCTCTACTTCCCCTTTTCTTTTTCTTCATTTCCCTCTCTAATCCATAGCTTTTTCCTTGGCTTTCTTTTGTTCCCAGCAGCCTACACACACACAAACCCACTCTCTCTCTCGGCTGTTCTTCCTTCCCTTTTTTTTTTCTCCTTCGAATGTTGTTTTGAGCCTAATAAAACTACACACTTTCTTGAATTCATATATTAATATATTTATATAAATTTTAGTTGCTGCCTTCACCTTACACGTACACACCCACACACATCACAACCAGATTTCTCAGTACACCCACCTAAATTTCTCAGTACACCCACACCCACAATTCTAAGTTTATTCCATAAGGCAATTTATGCTTAGGATTAATTCTAATTAAGCAACACTTACGCTGCGTTTGGTTGGAGGGTTTGAAGAGGGATTTAAAACGGAAAAGAAAAAAGTTTGGTGAAATGTGAATAAAATATACATATATTTTACCTAGTTTCACACACCTTTTCCTTTTCATTTTCCCTTTCCAAATCCCTCCCAAAATATCTCAAGCAAACACAACATTAGTCTTAATAAATCTTGGTTAGCACATAATTAATTAATCATAACTAATTACAAATCCCACATAATTTAATTAGTCTAATTGACTTCCATTATGGCCCAATTAATTATATTTAATTTTACCAATCCGAATCAGCTTTTTAGTCAGACTCCCAAAAGGCTCCAAATATTAAATTGAATTTATTATCATTATCAATTTTGATTTCCCAAATCATTTAGGCCTTCAATTTTTTATCAGACTCAAATTTCCATCAATAAATTACATATTCAAATTGGACACATCATAAACAAATTTAATTTATAATAACCACAATTCTCAATCCTCGTGACTTAATCAACTCCAATTATGACATAATTAATCAAATCTCAATTTTCCTAAACTGAATCGAATATTTAATTAAACTCCGAAATGGGTCCGTAGTTAAAATTAAATTGATTCAGCTTTTCAAGTTTACTTCCTTAAGCCATTTGGACCCTTGATTTCTAATTCCAAAGTAAGCACTTAATAGAACCATAAATGAATCAATCTCCATACTTTTCGTAAAACCCAGATTAAATTGGAATAATTGGCAATTAATTTCAAATCTCCCTAGTTAATTAAATGCTAATCATTATATGCGATTGGGTCGTTACAATAACTCTAAGAATATCCTTACCTCAAGTTTTGAAGAAGAAATGAGATGAAGCCCCCAAAATCAACGGTGTCGAAACTCAATCTTCACCGCACACAACGAAGCCCTCGAGAAGTTAACCAACTTTGATGAAGAACTTATGACAGAACTCTAATGGATTTTGAGAAATCAAAGTTTTGATCCAATTTAGTGTTGGGAAATGTAGAGAAAAGGGAGAGGAAAGGGTTTTTAGAGAGAGAGAGATATACAAAAGTGATCTCAAATATTAGATTCACGAACTGATATAACATGGTCCGCTCGAGCATGGAAAGCCCCGCTCGATCGTCAAATGCACTTTCCCAGTACTTTTGTAGACAGGTCAAACTACTGAAACCAAACATTCTCCGCTCGAGCGCATAAACGACCGCTCAAGCGGACAAGTAACTTCTAATGCATTTTACATTTTTGCTTCGGGAGCGCTGCCCCTCAACCCTGCCAGAGCGCTGCACTAGGACCCGCCAAGGAGCACTGCCCCCTGGACCCCCGCAAGCTAACCAGACAGCTCAATCCTCGCCAGGGCGCTGCCCTTGGACCCGCCAAGGGACGCTGCCCCCTAGACCCCGGCGAGCTAACCGAGCAGCTCGATCTCGGACATACTCAGCAAAGTGACAAAACTGGGATCGCTACATCTACAATCCTCTAAACAACTTAAATCGCTAAATGAGCACTTTCTCTTAGAGTGCCTTAGCTTTGACTAATGAAATTTTACGTGTTGTGCAGTTATCGATATCTTGGTATTTCTTCTTTTAATTCAATTGCAAATTTACTTGTAGATGTGCATGTATCTTATTGGTTTATCACCCCGCTTAAGGTCATGTTTGGTTAAAAGATTTGATAAGGGAAATAAAAATATAGAAATAGAAAGAAAATGAGGAAGAATTGATAGAATGTGAATTTCAAATTATATTTGGTTGAGTTAGGAAATGAAGAAAGAAAATAATCTAAAGTTGTGGATTCGGCAACAAATTTGGAAAAGGAAAAAGTTTGTAAAGTGTAGATGAAATGTTGTTATATTTTATTCATATTTCACATACTTTTCCCCTTTCCATTTTTAAATTTCTCTCCAAATTCTTGAACCAATCACATCATAATTGAATTTAAAGACAAAAAATTGGATTGCATTTCCCTCTAATTTTGTTTCTGTGTTTTTCATTGTTACCAAACAAGAAGTGAGATTGTATTTTCTTTTCCCCTTCCATCTTTTTCATCATATTCTCTAACCAAACATAGCTTAAGAATTTTTTTTTTTTAATATTTTTTTCAAGAATGTGATGTTTCCTAGGTAACGTACACTTTGCCCTTTTATGTTTGATCACTTTCTCACTTTGGCCTTTCATGTTTCAAGTTGTTCTCACTTTACTCCTAAAACCAACTTTTATTCAAAATTAGATAAAAAAAAATATCACAATAACTGTTACATAACATAGAAGAATATATTATTATACTAAAATTTAAGTTTATGTTAGAGATGTTAATTATATATAATGAAATATCTTTATGTCACGTGACTGTTGTATCATTTTTTGTCTAATTTTGAATAAAAATTAAGTTTAGGAGTAAAGTGGAAAAAACTTGAAACGTAAAGGGTTAAAGTGAGAAAAAAAATAAACTTTAAAGGTTAAAATGGAAAGGGGGGCAAAATGTAATTTACCCTTAATCAAGATTTACATAATCTATCATTGTCTCATTCGTCCAAAACATATAAAGTAAAATAGTGGGCATTTTTTTCAGAATTAAAATTGTGTGAGAAAACTTCACACAATAATTATACTAATCAAATGGGTCTCAGAGCCATAGCAATCCACAATATATCAAATTTTATACTAATAAAATGAGTTTCAGAATCAATAGACTTGTTTTTTTTTTTTTAAATAAAAAATCAACAACTATAGAAGTCTCAAAAATGAGAAGTGTTCTATGTCATTGCAAACAGTCGAAAACATCTTCACGGCCTGAGTACGTAAAAATAAATAAATAAATAAATAATGACACAGGTTTACATTAACAGAAAAAAACAGAAAGAACCGGGGAAAAAAAAACACACTCTGTAAGTGTGGGGACATATTTTTTGGGTAGTCTACGTGGCCGAGGTTGATTAGCCGAGGTGCTACATGGGCAGATCATGTTTGCCGAGATATTTGGGGCACTGCCGAGGTATTCCGCGACAATACTGGAATCCGAGATAAGCAGGTATGGGACAAGAGTCCTACAATAGGAGAAGACTTTAGTTTGGGTAAAGATAAAACTCTTAGAGAGTTTATCCTAATCCTACTGGGAGTCCAAGATTAGCCGTAATCCTAAGTCCATTAGAGCTAGACTTCTATTGGGACTAGGATTGTACTAGCTATAAAAGGAAGGCACCCCTATGGGTCTAAGGTATGCTTTTTATGCTTTGAATAGTGAGTTAAGCACTTTTGCTATCTTTGAGAGATAACTGACTTGATCGTCGCAGCGCCCCCTGGTGGACGAGCCACTGCCGTAATCTCTTCTTTCTGTTGCAGGTCGTTCGGGCTTAGTCTATTCTGCCAGTGTTCTCCAGCTGAGTGCTTGATTGACAGTGTGGTCGGAAATTCACCCACACAATTTGGCGCCGTCTGTGGGAAAGAAAGAAGAATAGATGGCCAGCGACAGACAGAAGGATAAGGTTGGGGACGAAATCCCTGTTGAGAACGGTAATCACGTTGTCCCTAACATGGAGGAAGATGGTTGCAACGAGGAGACTCGAGACTAGAATCATGGAAAGAAAGACGTCGGCCAGAAGGACGACATACCAAAGAAATCAGATCGAAGCAGGTATTACAATGAGGACGACCTCCAGGTATGGAAAGATAGATGCCTGCGGAGGGACAAAGAGGTAAAAGAGATGGCAAATAAATTGGCAGACCTGCAATCAGTCATCAATATCATGATGCAAAACGTCATGCAGCCACCGTTCCCACTGCAGGACACGCCGATTCCAAAGGCCAATGCCCAGAAGAGAGGGCAGAAAACAATCCCTGCAATCCCCCAACACACCAGGAGCGAAGAACACTCTCATCGGCTTTCAAGGGAGGTCGGGCGAAGAGGGTCGAGAAGGGAAGAATCTCGAAGGACACACTGCACTAAGGAAGAAAACCCCAAAAAACATCGGCATGTTCAAGGGCAGGAGCTGTGCTTCAACACAACTAATGGAGAAAGGTCAAAAAGGGCTCGCAACGAAGCAGAGAACAGTGCACCGAAAAGATTAAAGTCAGGAGATAGCCGAGCTCTTGGGCGGACCAAGGAGGACTTGAGAGATTACCTCAAGAGGAAGAAACAAAATGCCAAAGTAGATTCCCTTGTCAAGCCGAGAACACCATTCTCGGTGGAGTTCGACAAATTTGAGACCCCGAAGAGATTCAGTATGCTGAGGTTACAGATATATGACGGCAAGACGAACCCGAACTTACACGTCGACTTGTACCTAAACTCGATGGCATTATACACCGAGAACGAGCCGTTGCTCTGCAAGGTGTTCCCCTCGTCTCTTGGGGAAATTACATCGGACTGGTTTCACAAGTTGCCGAAAGGAACTGTGAAAACCTGGGAGGGCTTGGCCGAGATGTTTGTGGCCATGTTTATGACGAACAAACTACAGCCGTTGAGGGTGGATTCCCTGCTGGCTCTGAGAATCAGTGAGAATGAAGGCCTTAGGGCCTATGCCAAAAGGTATTATGAAGTGTTCAACCGAATACCCGAGTGCAACCAAGAGGTGGCGTTCGTATCTTTCAAGAATGGCCTGAAAGATGATTGTCCACTTCGAAAGTTATTAGCAAAGACATTACCAAAAAATATGGAGGAGCTCATGGCCAGAATTGAGATATATGCCAGAGCCAAGGAAGACACATCAGGGACAAAGGCGTCCAAGTAAGAGGAGAGAAACGGTTCGCTAAAGCGAAGCCGAGATAACACTGGATACAATGAACAGGAGCGCAGAT